GGCACAAGGGCAAGGAGGAGGCCAGCCGACAACGAGCCATCAAACGAAGAGACAGCGGGCCCAAAAATAGTCTAGATAAGGCACCCATCAACGGGGCGGTAGTGGGGCGGAAGGAAACGGCGCGGCGGGAAGAAAGCAAGCGAGAAGAGACCGACCGCGTGACGTGACATGTTGCGGTCGAATTTCAACGACTAATTTTTCTGTTGCCCTCTCCCCCGTTTGCTGTCGCGTTCAGACTGTCTCTAGGGATATCCCTGTCTCTGTGCGAGTTTGTTTGTGTCCTCGTCTTTGCTTTATTCTGTTTTATTTTGTCTTTTGTTTTGTTTTTTACTGGCACGTACCCCCGCCCCTTCCTTTGGCCGTCGACCTGCCTCCATGTAGTGGGAGGCTACCCCCCCAGGCTGGTGGTGCGGCCGATCCACTAGTCTAATTATTTATTTTATTTTATTTTATTTGTTTCTGATTATATTTTGTTTTCTTGTATTTTATCGCTCTGCTGACCCTTGGGGTCCATTTTATTTTGGTATACCTTTTCTAGGTACGTTAGCCTGTGACCACGGAAATTGGCCGAGTCAAGTGATGGATTAGTACGGAGAGATTGAGACAGAAGGAGGTACTGGATAGAGAGACCGGGATGGTTTTTAATGTGAAGACAACAACAACAACAACAGACTCCCTAAAAAAAAATTAGGACGAAAGACGTTGCGCATGTGATGTAATGCCCGTTCAAACAGGCACCCCTTGAACTGGCCGCCACTGCAAGAATTCTCCGCAAGAACCCCAAGGCCATTTCCCTTATTTCACAGTCGTCTTGCATTCCCACAAGACGCCCTTTGGTGGGTAGGTTTGTTCTATCACAAGAAACACTGTTGCAAAAAAAAAAAAACATGCATGCCCGGGGACAAAATTACCATATCCCCGGGTTTCCCCGTATCACCCACCCCCGCCCCANATGCCCGGGGACAGAATTACCATATCCCCGGGTTTCCCGGTATCGCCCACCCCCGCCCCACCCGCGCTGCTGGGGTGCACCCTAACCATCTCTACATGCCCCCACAAACCACGTCTTCTTCTACTTTATTTACTCGAACAATTCATCGACCGCCTAGACAACCGTAAAGCATATATCCTAGTCTAAACATCAACGATTGGTGTCGGGATCCGTTGCCGTCCTCGGGAGGAAATCTTCCTCCTCCTTGCTCAGGACAGCCCTGGGACCAACCTTCGCATCTATATAGCCACCTTCTTCACACGGTCGTGCAGCGAGGCTAGCGGGAACCCGTAGGTCTTCGCAGGAACGCGGAGCGACATCTCACCGCTGCGTGCCGCATCTACAGCCTTCTGGGCCTGCTCTGGGTCTACTCTCGTACGTCCCATGCTTAACAGCAGGACCCCGAAAGGGCAAGGATGCCCCACATCAGGGGTGTGGGTGAGGGCTGTGCTGTATTTCGGGAGTGCTTGACCCGATCGACACGCGGAGGTGCTCAAACAAAAGCCAACGGAACGCTGAAAATTTGAAAAACAAAACTGGGGGTCTCCGCGGATGGTGCGCGGAGGGACGTGCATTTGAAAAAGTGTTCGTTGAAGGGGGGGGTGTTCGTTAATACCCTGGTTTACTCTAGCCGCAGAGGTCGTGAGTTCGAATCTCCATGGGGTGAAAAATTTACGAAATCTGCGGGTGAAAGCGAAACATAGTAGCTAAAAAGCTCTCGTGAGTACCAAACTTCGACGTTAGCGCCGTTGACGAGGGAAATGGACGGCTGGACCCTTCTCGCGATAAAAATAAAATTCAGCACGCACCGCAGGAGGAAGGTGAGGCATGAAAAGAAATAAAAGAAGAAAAAAGCCCTGGTGTTTACCCACTCCTGTTTGACCCTGGATGGTTGTAGTTGTACGAAAAAATACACTGAAAAGTGTAGTACTCTACATACATACGCTGAAGAGTGTAGTACACGTCTCACCACGAAAAATGGGGGGGACTGTCGCCATAATATATAGGACGAAAACACACACACACACACTTCAAGCACGTGGATTCAGCAGGACAGAGTGCACAGCTCCCTGTCTATGGCCACCGCAGTACCAAGGGATTCGTCTGGCCGTATACTGAGTACCCGGTATTAATCAGTATCGTGTGTTGTTGTCTGAGACTCGAGAATATTCAATTCGTGTCTCGAGATTCACCTGCTTTCACACAAGCAGGGCGGCCGGGCATATTTTTGACGGTCCCCTGTACAGGGACCATGATGTAAGACGAAGTTATTGCATCATGTTTGTACTGATTTCTCCTTTTGAAACAGTTCTCGCCGGATGTGGGTGCTGTCAGATCATGCATGTTTCCTAGGACACACTGAAACATAAATTATCTTTGCACCGGCAGCGTCATGAATCTTGGAACGCGAAGAATAAAAAGCATCATTCGAGTCCAGTCTCGGTTGCCCTGAAGAGACTTGTGATTGCTGTACGTCTAAACCGGACTACTGGAAACTCAAATGTCGCCGCGTATGAATTCCAACGTCATTTGCATTGCCCTGAAGAGACTTGCGATTGCTGTGCGTCTAAACCGGACTACTGGAAACTCAAATGTCGCCGCGTATGAATTCCAACGTCATTTGCATTGCCCTGAAGAGACTTGCGATTGCTGTGCGTCTAAACCGGACTACTGGAAACTCAAATGTCGCCGCGTATGAATTCCAACGTCATTTGCATTTCGGCCGCAAATAAATGCAATAACAAGGAACCTCACGCAGCTCTTCGTGTGTGTGGGTGAACATGTTCCCGATGCCCATGCTCGTGCTTGAGCGCCATCCACCATGCCATGACTGGTGCTGGCGGGACACCTGGTCTGCCCAAGCCGAAAAACTGGTGGCACTTACGAGTTCGCATTTGTGCCTGCCCATAGACTTCACGACCGGCTTGACACAGAAACCGTTCCTCTATGTTCACACGCATCGCCGCATTTTTCAGGAAAACCACCCAGGAAAAACTCACAAGACAAAACGCGCGACCGCAGACGATGACTTCCATATTCGAGCGAAACTGGCCCATTTGAAGCCACAGAAATGTTTCAAGACGCCGGTAACCGTCAACACGAGCACACGAATCGACCCTGAAACAAATCAGGGTAATAGTCAAATCGAGGAGATACGCATACTACCCAGCTCTTCGTCAGCGTCTGGTCTGTTATCAATGCCTTTGCTTGTTGGTGTTGCTTCGCATCCACCTCCCCCGTGGGCAGCTAGCTCTTGCCTACCCATTTGACGAAGAGCAAACCAGTCCAAACACAGCAAATCAACGACATCTCGACACCAACGACGTTTTGAATCTCTTTCGTGCGAGTGCTCCGACAAAGCCGTAGTCCGCGCCAAGTACTGCAACAACACACCCCACTCAGCAAACGCCAGACGTTGCCGCAGACAGCAGCTTAACCCGCGCCATCGCTTGATTACTACGGCACAACCGACAAGCTTCACCAGACCACAACGTTTGCGTATGTATTATGCCTATAGTCAGCGGCATCAAACGCAGACCCATCACAAGGGGTGGAGCGGAGCGGATTGACCCCTCCCTCCTCGACGCAAACCGACCGACGCATGAATTCATGTATGCACTACAAACATCTCAACCTCGCGCGTGCCAACTACACCGAACCCCGAATAGCTTAAAAACAGCAGTCGCAGTCGAACGGACACGCCGCCGTGCCCCCGCCTTGGCCTATTCTAAGAGATTCCCATGTGTAGATTGGCAGTCCCTCGTCGTCAAACCGCACTGGTGATGCATATGGGACAAACACACGGGGTGGGGGGGGGTAATCGATAGATCAGCGGAAAGCATGCATGCGGCCAGAGACACTTCGTCATCGCTTGTGTTTCCCCAGTTCGACGGAGAACTCAACGGGTAGGAGACAAGCCTCAAGCGATAGCGCAATCGTTAACAGAGGGCTCGTACCGAGCAAGCGCGGAGTCACGAAGAAACACGATTGAGAGAGGCCACGTCACGCACGAACGATCAAGTACCCTGAGGTCCCGGGGGGAGCCCTACCAGCAGTGTAACTAGTTGATTATCTCGTTTGGGACAAAAGTTGTGGTACAAGGGTGTGTGAATCGGGAGATCTTGCGATAGGGGTGCCTTCACACCGACATATCCGGGGGATCAATCCACATGTAGGCGCAGAGGAGGATTTGAGAGTCTTCCACTAGCAATGCAGGTCGCGAAATTAGCCTTGGACAGCACTGTTGTGGTCTGTGCCTTCCCGAGCCAAAATATGGCAAGACGTCAAGCTCAGAATGACTGCAGATTTGGAGTAGGACACGCAGGTATCCACCCCATCGGTGCGTTAGACGAATCCTCCAGGACAAGCTCATGTGCTGCTATTTCCGCTTGCAGCCCTGTTCGGAATACTTCCCACTGGTCGCACACACATACCTCCTGAATGTCCCAAAGCATTTCTTACCTGGCTTTACTTCGTCTGCCCAAGCCCATCTCTTGTCAGGCCCCCCCTCGCCGGTGAATGGATTGGCTTGTCGCCTTTTATGGTCCTCCTTAATCTTCTTTTTCTTCGCCACCCTGCGGGTGTTTCAGACGAATAATCAAAGAATACGACACAGCGCGTCTTGTCAACAAACCAACTTCATGGTGCACGACGCCGTCTAAGATGTCCGTTGCACGGACAAAATCCGCAACAGAAGTTGGGACGTTGGGACTGCTGTTGTGGGTAGGAAGTGTCATGGTTGATGCGTTCGGCTGAGGGAGGCGCCAGAGAGATGCGTGTCTTCCCTACTTTTGGTTTTTTGTTTGTTGTTGTTTCTCACATTAGCTCTAAAAAAAAAAAAAGATTGGGGCCCGTGGTCTCAAAACCCGGCATACACGACCCCACGAAGAAACAGAAAAAAATAGGGTACAAAAACCACTCGGAAGAGACACAAAATGATAGAAAGAAAGACCAGCTACCGCACCAAACGAGAAAGAGCGTCGAGGAGACCGATCAAAATAAAATAAAAGGAGAACGGGGAACGCTTCCCACACCCGCCTACAACGCCGGAGGGTTCCGTGCCGGGTTCCCGCCGACCAGGCATCATTTGGTGTTCAAGGTCGTCGAAGACAGACTATGTCAGGGGGAAGCAATCAACGTCCAATTAACCGGCAGGATTCTGAACAAGCCAGTCCTTACCCATAAGAGGTTTGTCCCTGGAGTTAGAGGGTTAGCTAAGGGTGTTCCGAGCATCGGCGAACTTCGAGAAATCTGGAGCGTGAGTCTGCATGTACGTTGTGCGATCAGAGTACGTTTGTAATGTTGAACTGCGATGAATATTCCAGCGTGTTAGATGCCAACAGCAGTGGAACATGCCGTGTGTCCTATCCCAATGCCCCAATACAAACAACAGGGTCTATGTAGAATATGGACGATAACAAACTACAGTATTGTAACAATACCTCTACAGCAATGCGCAACGCAAGCCATGTCTTCCAAGGGTGAAGCAGCACAGCAGTGTAGCTTTAGCTACCGCTACGGTTGGGGAGAGTGTGTTCAGCAGTAGCGTAGCTGTGGTGCACTGATAGCTTGTGTCATGTCTTGACGAACCGCGATACTCTATACAACATCTATGGGAGACCAGGCTACTGCTCACGAAGGAGGGCTGGTGTCGGGAGGGTTCAACAGGTACAGTACAATGAAGGGTCGACCAGACAACAGCGAAGCGTTTGTCCTTTCACGTAAGTCTGTCCCATCACACACACCACTTACCTCGCTGCTTCTTCCTCCGCCTTGTCCTCTTTCAATCGCTTCACGCCCGCAAATATGTCGTCTATGTCGCTCTTCACCTTGACTTTTGCCTTTCCCTTCCCTGTCCCTTCCTCCACGAGCTTGCTTCCCTTCCCTTTGTCACCACCCTTTGCTCCAGTGGGTGTTGGAGGGGGCTCCCGGCTGCTGGTTGTTTTCTGTAATCGCGCTGGGTCGGCAGAGGCCACCGCCTTCCCAGAGGGTGTGTTCGGCGCCTTCCGTTTGAGGCCACGACCACCAGATAGAGCAGGAGTTTGGCCGGTTGGTCGTTGACCAGAGTGGGGGGCCATGGTCCCTCGAGTCTTGTTGTTGCGTGCGCTCCCTCGCTGCTGCAGCTGCTGGCCGTCGCCGCTGCTGGCTGGCTGGCCTGCTGCCCGCTGATGCCACCCCGGCTTTCGCAACCCTCCCTCGCCAACGTTTCCGCGGAGCCCCCCTCGCGGCCCCAACTCTTTGCGTGCTGAGCTTTCCACGTGTGGTGTGTCGACCACAGAGAGAGAGCGTTCACCGAGGAACCGGAGCATTGAGTATGAAAAACACGGTACTTGCTGTGGTCGCGGCTGCGGCTGTAGACGGGGCGTCCGCGTCCGGGGGGTTCTTTGGTCCGTTGGCTGGAGGCGGCGGCGCGAGCGGTGCTGTGGCACCCCGGGGGTCAGGCAAGGCATCATCTGAGCCGCCATCAAGGAGCCGATGGTTAGGAGCGAGAGGGGCGCGGGAGGGCATGGTGGACAGCCTCTACGCGACGACGGTCCGAGGAGGGGCATCAGGTGTGTTGCGTATAGTCTGCTTTTGTCGCAAGCACGCTCTCCTCCCTCCCACCATTTTCAGAAAATAGCCGGTTGCATACGTATCATGTGCTGTCTATCGATCATACACGTTTGTGTGTGTTGCCGCAAACAGAGGCTGCTGCGATGTAGGTCGGCCGACCTCACACCAGTAGTTGTGTGCACTTGAAAAAGTGGATGGCCCGCCGTAGAAGCAGTGCCCTACACGTGAACGTACAGCTCACCAGACAATGAGGTTTCAAGCGAAATTGAGTTGCACTCACAAGAGCAAGTTGGTGTATGTGCGGCCACGCGGTAAGCTCTGGCGCCTTCCTTCAGGCACGCCATTGTTGGTGTTGGTCCAGCCAGCAGCCAAGGGCGCAGACATGGAACAACCCACCATGTTCCCTGTGGTCATTTGACCAGTCACAGACAGACCCAGCTCTTCCAGTTGTGTCGAGTCGGTGTGCAGATGTGTAGTCGTTTGCGCACGCTACTAGCGTGCAAAACTGCGTTGTGTACACACACTGCTGCGGTGTGGAGTCTAACGACGCGAGTGCAAGATGTTCAACTTGGGCTGCCGCCATTCACCACCACCACACGATGCGGACAGCTCAACGGACAGCAACCCGCGCGCCGCCTATACGTGCCAGATCCTTCGGTGCTACACGCAGCAGTATTTAACGACCTGTTTGCTGCTACCCACATTTATCATGTGCAAGTACACAAGGCCCCACCTTTGGGTGCTCATCGACTGAAACATCGAAAGCAAGATTGCTTGGCCTTCAACTGCTGTACATGTACACAGGAATGAACACTGGCGCCCTAACCTGACCCTATCTGCGTGGTCACAGCATGCGGTTGGTGTGCGATTTGTACGTCTGCAGCATGAAATTTGCGCTTTATGGATCGGAAAACGATGTGTTTTGGGCTTGACAGGGCTACTGTGGCGCGTGAAGAACAATCAGACAGCTTTCCTCCGTAGCCTCAAACGACTGCTGATGCTGCTGAATATACGGCATCCCCTACGGAGCTCTTAGTCATTGTGCCTACGACGGAGCTGGTAGCAGACAATGCTCTGAACGTTTGTGCGTGTACCCATCATGTTAAAGGGAATCTCACATAAATAGCATATGGAATCTCCTTAAAAATCCGCCGAGGCTCGGGGTTCCTGTTTCCGCTGCCGCTGGGGAATGCCAATAGCACTCTACATAATGGTTTTAAAAGAGACGCTGCTGTTCTCCAGGCATCACAACCGGGTCCAGTTTTTTTGTTTTTTTTTATATCCTCATGTCACTGCCAAGGTGGTAGCGAAGTCTATGCAACGACATGCTGTTCTGCCCCCCCGGCATACCTGGTACACACACAAGCACAGTTGATCCAGGCCCAACGAACGACATCGACATCGCGTTGATGTGCCGTGATCGTTGCGTTCGCCTTCTTGCAACTCCGATCAGCCGTTTCGGACTACGATGCGGGAGTGGGCGGCAAGAAGAAAAAGAAGAAGAAAGGCAGCAGCAAGAAACAGGCGCCACCGGCCGACCCCGCCCCCGCGGACAAGAAGGCGATCGCTAAGGCCGCCGCTGCGAAGAACAAGAAGGCCAACGAGAAGAAGGCAGCGGCCGCCGAAAAGAAGAAGAAGACGGCCTTGTCCTTGCCTGACGATGACGAGGAGGAGATCGACCTCGTGGCCAAGATGGAGGCTGCCCGGCGGGCTATGCCTAATGCTTGTGTGGTGAGAGGAAAGGGAGAAAAGTAAAGCCCGGTGCCATGACCTACAGGAAGCAAGGTCGGCAGTGTTTGATGTGTGGAGCACTGCTATGGGTCAGTGAACCACGGGTACGGGTATTGCTGAAAGTGCAGATGGAGATGCGAGAAAGCTAGCTCGAGTATGGAGTGAAATTAGTGTACTTCGGTACAAATATGGTAGATATCAATCCTTGGTGGCGAAGAGGGAAGGGAGAGAGAGAGAGGCCTGGCGGATGATGACCAACGCTTCGGGTTCAGGTAACGGGAAAGTGACGGGAGATGCTGCCGGCGCACTCGTTTTGCATGTCAAATGTTGTATGCCTGCGATCCGATGGGCGTTATCCCTCGACAATGCAAGCGCTTCCAGCGGAGTGCTTTGCGGCATAGGAACGTCCCACACTTTCCTGCCAAATCTTGGTTGTTGCAGCACAACTTTTGGTGCTGAGCACCGCACTGGTGAAGACTGATCCTGCCAACCTCGAAGTTTCGATGCAGAGCCTCAGTACACAATGAAACAAGTTTTTTTTACTACCACGACGGCAACGAATGGAAACGTGAACGTGCTTCCCTTTTTTCGACGAGCACAACACTGATGATAGGGTATATGGACGGAACGTAAAATGTACTGTTTGTTTGGGTGGGTGTATCGGTGCAGGTGGATGATGCCGTGAGCACGGAGGTAGAGCAGACGGTCGTCAGCTTGAGCGCGGCCAAGATGGACGAGGTGAGAGCCAGAAAAAAATCGGCACTGTAGACAATGTGTAAACCGAGTTTTAACCCCAACCCAGGTTCAGGGCAAGGTTAAGACGATCCTCCGTACCTGGCACTGTGGTTGGTACAGAAATTACAACCCCATGCGTCATACGTGCATCAGAAAGGTGTTGCTTCGCATGAGCTCTGACTATGCTTGGAAGTGTTACCATTGAGACCCCGAAAGTAGTTTATGAGCAAAGGCGGGCTGCAGAAGTCCAACGGAAGACTATTTAACCGGCGACAGCTTAAATAGCAAAGGCGACGGCTTCGTCGATCGTTTCTGAGAAGAAACACTGCACGTGTGCATGAATCTGGTGGGACAAGTTGGTGTCGACCCAAATGTTGCAACAGTGTGGTAGGTGGTAACTACATGGGTGACCTGCTATGTTGTGTTGAGGGTAGGCAAGATGCCCTCCAATAGTTGAGTGACTCGCTACACTGCTGCCCTTGCCATTTCCAGCAAACCCCCGGTTACTTCAACCTGTACCTACGCCTACAAGTAGCAGCACCACTCATACGCTGTAGCGCTTTGTAGTTATGACGCCTACCCTGTGTTGTTTCGACGATAGTACGGCGTATTCCGCACGACGTTTTGTCTTGTCTCTCGTGACGCACCACAGTAGTCTTGTTGTGGCATGTGATGGTGCCGTTGTTCTGTCTTGTTATGCCACACGCTGGGATGGGTGACTCCCACCTCCACCTCTATGTAACGCTCGGTCCTATGACGATGACTGTACTGTCCTGTTAGGGGTGTCAAAGCGGCGGAATTCGGGGCCAAAAAAACGTCCGGTCCGTTCGGCAAAATTTGAGGGGGGCACGCGGATTGGGTTCTTTTTTTGGTTCTTGAGAATCCCGCTGTTAATACTGAATAAACTATACATCATGTCAATTTGTTTGTGCAGGCAGCTCTGCGTCCAGACAGCAGCATGGCTCTTCATGCGTTACACACACCTGGACACAGGTCCAATAGAGGTGACTGTAGGGTAGGTTTTCTCTTAAAGTTAAAGGGCGGACGAACAACACCAAGAAACATGGTTTTTTGGGCTCGTTGCTCCACGCCCAAGGCGACCTTTGTTTCTCTCGTGAAAGCGAACCTACAGCCCTCTACCTGGGGTTTACAGCTATACCACACAACAAACCGCATCCGAATCGCATCAGCCAACCACGAGATATACATGTCTGAAAACGGCCCCTCCAGTGGGGCTGCAGCGCCCACACCAGCAGACGCTACCAAAAAAAAAAATCGAGGTCCGCGCCGTTCGGCAGCAGGAGGCGCGCTGCGCGAAAGCTGAATCAAAACAAAACGAAGTTTGAAGAGAGGACGGGGCAGTGTATGGTTGCCGCGTCAGCAGAAGATAACACGCGGCGCGCTATCGAACGCGGCAGCCTCACCGTCGTAAAGAGAACGCTGGAGGAAACGAAGGAGGAGTTGGTCAAAAGTAAGAAAATTGTGGAAGAGAGCCAGGCTCAACCTCGCTGCCGCCGCCGCCGCCGCTGGTGCTGCTGCTGCTGCTGTTTTCTTCAGCAGCAGCAGCAGCAGCGGCGGCAGGTGTCTGCGTGGCTTCAACGCCCGGCTGCTGCTCGGGTGTGTCATGAGGCATGTGTTCTAGAGTGGGACCGCGTAATGGTGTTGTGCTGTCCCCTATAGCAGGGCGCAAAGCACACAGGCGAGCCGCGCCCTCGCGCGTGTGCGTCCGAGGGTCATTTCGGGAGGTTCCGACGGTTCCGTGCAATTTCATTGGTTGGTCGATTTTCCATCAGCAAGATCCGAGGACGCTTTTTCGATTTTTTTCCTATAGGAAATTTTCCGCTTTGACACCCCTAACTGTGCCATACTGTAACAGCTCGGCATCTTCAACGGGGACGCGGTTTTGCTGAAGGGCAAGAAGCGTAAGGACACCGTGTGTATCGCTCTGGTGGAAGACGGCCTCGAGGACTCGTCCATCCGCATGTCCAAGGTAAGTCGTACCCCTTCTCCTCTACAAGCATGTGGTGCGTGTCTAAAGCGTGGTAAAATGCATCTCCTGTAGCGGCGGAAGTCTAACAGCCTGTTCAAGCGATCGATACGTTGGTTCACCACGTTCTTCTTGTCACGCAGCTCGAGGGCAGCGCGTTGCGCTGCGCGCATTGGCTATTGTACCCCAAGCACCGCGTACCCACGTGACGCCCGCTGACTATTAATAGAACGTTTTGTCGAGTTGGCCCCTGTCTCTGAGACCGCAGAGTCTTTTGAGTGTTTTCGTTGGTCATCCGGATACTGTACTGGGAGGAGGGTCTTGTTTTTTTTCCCGCCACCTTTGACACTTCTGATCAGATGGTTGTTTTTTTGTTTGTTAAGGTGACCCGCAAGAACCTTCGTTTGAGGCTGGGGGACATCGTGACGGTCCACGAGGCGCCGGATGTCAAGTACGCCACGGTGGTCCACGTGCTGCCTTACGCGGAGGACCTGGAGGGGGTGACGGGGGAGACGTTCGAGACGTTCTTGCAGCCCTTCTTCGAGGGAGAGTTCAAGCCGGTCAGTGGATGGACCAGTCCAAGCAGGGTAGTTTTTGTCTTTAGGGTTGTAGAGGTATCCAGGCCAGTTTGTCGAACAGGGTCCGCGAGTGGAATCGTTTGGAGGGATTTCGTACGTGGGATGTGCATACGACTTTGTGAAGTTTGTTGTTTGTTGTTTTCTTATGCTCTTGGTGACCTCTCTTGACGGGGGGACAGAGGCTCGAGGCGGCCATCTGGAGGCGGCCGCTTGGAAATAAGGTTAATGTTCGCTGTTGTGGCTAGAACGAGACGGTTTGACGGTCTTTGTTCGCGGGGGAGATGGAGCCGGGCTGTCTGGTCGAGTCAAGAGTCAAGCTCGTTTCGAGTTTTCCACCTGCTCTTCGACGGCGGGGTTCAAGTCTAACGCAGCGAAGTTGTCAGTCACGCGTCTGTACTATTTCCTGCTGTAGGCATTTTGGTTGCGGCCGTGCTGCCCAACTGTCTGTCCTTGGTACGGTGCGAGATGAAAAGAGTAACCAGATGAGCGGAAAACAAACGGTATTGTAATGGTGTTTTTTTTAGGTGTGGGCAAGGCAGAACAGCCCCGTGCTGTGCAATCGTTGATGCTTGTTGCGGTGGCTGTCATTTTCGTCCCTCGTCCGCGTTCCTCATCCAATATACCCCTGTCCGCGCCTCGGCACGTTGCTTGTCGCACTTGGTGGTACGCGCTCTACAGCTTCGCAAGGGGGATACCTTCCAGACGAAGGGCGCCATGCGCACGGTAGAGTTCAAGGTGATGGATATCGCCACGGCCACGGAGGAGGAGGCAGAATACTGCTACGTCAACGAGGACACAGAGATACTCTACGAGGGAGAAGCGCTCAAGGTAGCTATCTACATATCATACAGTCGTAGTTATGGCTTAGCGGTCCACGAGTGTCAAAAAATGTAACTTTTATGGTGGTTTGACTACCGAGGTGCAGCCGTGCCACGAGATTTTGGGAGCGCTATTCAGGGCATCCCGCTAAACAGAGAACCGATAAACAGGGGCTACGACTGTACCATAACTATTGCCGCCGCCACAACAGAAACATTTTTGCTGTCCGTGCGTAGTCAACAAACGTTGGTACAGTATGGGACAGGGGGGGGGGTGATGCTGTTGTAGTCGAATGTTAGTGTGCGGGCGGGTAGTTCAGTTTTGGGCACGCAAACGTGTTGCAGGAATTGTAGGTGTGCCGCTTCGGGCTTGTGTACCCTCATCTTGCTAATAGTTTGCGTGTTTTTTTAGGTCCTCTGTTGGCTCCAGCATTTTTGTGACCACGGACCGAGTCTTAGCTAGTTTTTGGGACTAGCGACTGACACGAGTTCATGTGAAGACAACAACAACAACAACAATCATCCCGCACCATCCTATCTACAGATAGATGACTGTTGGAGCGCGGAACGACGGAAGATAGCTCTCGGTCCTCCAACATCCCCCCCCATGTTTGGCCGCGTTGAAAATGCGCGGTTGTGATCATTTTTGTTGTTGGATTGCTCTCTTATGTTTTTTTTTTTTTGTCGTTACAGCGCGACGATGACGAAAGTCTCAACGAGATCGGTTACGACGACATCGGGGGCTGCAAACGCCAGCTGGCGCAGATCCGGGAGCTGATCGAGCTCCCCCTGAGGCATCCTCAGCTCTTCAACGCCGTCGGCATCCCGCCCCCAAGAGGCGTTCTCATGTATTTCAATTCAAAGATGCGGGGCGGGAATGGGGGATAAGATTCGACACGCGTTTTGTTAGAGGGAGAGGGTTTCATGGGAGAAACGCAACAACTTTGTTTTTCATGTGCGCCATCACCGCTGTTCCGCATGCGCTGTTGCCGTGCTATTTGATGTTATATCCTGGCAAGTGTCGATGTTGGTGGTTGACGTTCTGTGCACACGTGACGGTGGTGTATGTGGTATTGTCGCCAGGTACGGCCCGCCTGGATGCGGCAAGACTATGATCGCGAGAGCAGTGGCGTCGGAGACGGGGGCTTACTGCTTCACCATCAACGGTCCGGAGATCATGAGCAAGCTCTCCGGGGAGTCGGAGACTAACTTGAGGAAGGCTTTCGATGACGCGGAGGCTAACTCTCCCGCTATCATCTTCATCGATGAGATCGGTGAGGGCTCTTGTTGCTGCTATTGTTGTTGATGTTGTTGTTGTTGATGATGATTCCATTGCGATGTACCGCCTTGTCCGACTTGATGAAAGCCTTCGAAGTCTTCCGCCGCATGCCCATGTGGGCGAGAATGTCTTTACGGTCTCACGCGCCCCCAGGTTCTTTCCACGTTCCGCCCATCGATGTTCTGATCCTCTCTAGAGAAGAAAATCCAGAACACGACCATGGCATCAAAACACAGCGATTCTACTTGTAGTAGCACACTCGTCACGACAACAGGCACGAAGCAACAATTTCATTTGCTTTTTTTCTTTTCGACGCAGACTCCATTGCACCGCGGAGGGACAAGGCTGGCGGAGAGGTCGAGAAGCGAATCGTCTCCCAGCTTCTCACCCTCATGGATGGCATCAAGCCCACCTCCCACGTGGTAGTCATCGCCGCGACCAACAGGCCCAACGTCATCGAGCCGGCCCTGCGCCGCTTCGGCCGTTTCGACCGCGAGCTGGACATCGGCATCCCCGATGAGGAGGGACGTCTGGAGGTGCTCAGGATCAAGACGCGCACCATGAAGCTCGACGACGACGTGGATCTTATCCAGGTAGATGCCACGGCGGTGCATGTAGCTGCTTTTTCGCGGATACGTGTACGGGCTTGATTTTTGTTGGAGATCGAAAGGGATTGTGTGTTGTGTGGATGTCGATCTCACGGAGGTGAAGTGTAGTTGCATGACTTGTTGATGAGGGAGACGGGTAACGAACGCATACAGTTTTGACGTCGTAGACGGAAAAGGGGCGCCAGGTTTTGTGGCAGAGCATGATGTACGTTACGTCAAGATGTGGTGGCACCTTGCCGTTCGCAAGTCTTAGTAACAGATGCAAATGGAGGTGTCCGAACGATATCTATCACGGCTGAACCGACTGGTTTTACGAATATTGCGTCGGAAACGCTGCTGTGCCGCCGGTTGTGCCTGTCTTTCTCTCTCTCAGATCGCCAAGGACACCCACGGGTTTGTGGGGGCCGATCTTTCCCAGCTGTGCATGGAGGCCGCGCTCCGCTGCATCCGGGAGCAGATGCACACGATCGACGTCGATGCGGACAAGATCCCTGTCGTGAGTGGCGTAGAAGGGCGCTGAATATCCTTGAGTTATTGAGCGTGTTCGATATCGCTGTTGTTGAGGGCCCTATAAACGAATCTACTGTCTTGAGTGTTCTCGCCTTGGCCTGCCTGCTGCGTTTGTGCTGCTAGGCAGGCCCCTCTGCATCAACTTGATGCTTGCGCTTTGGTTGCAATGGTCAATGTTGATGTTTAATGATGGTTGGTTGCGTGTCGATCGACAAATGCAGGAGGTGCTGGATGGTCTGGCCATCACGAACGACCACTTCAAGTACGCGCTGCAGCACTGCAACCCTTCGGCACTGCGAGAGACCCTGGTCGAGGTGAGTGCAGTAGCTGTATTCTACTATATGTGTTTGGCGGAATACTGTACGGCAGCAGGTTCATTTTCCCGTGCAGTTGCACGCTCCGGCCTTGACTCTTGATTTCGCCTCACCCAAGTAAACGAAGTGTCCCTGCAAAAGGTTGGTTGTAGACAGTCAACAGCACTTGTTGCAGCGATACACTGCACTAGCACAACGCAGCGGTGGCATGGCCAATTGGAAGTCGTCTTCTTGTATGTCGCTGTTGTATGCTATGTCGCATATTTGTGAAGCGCTGCTCTTGCTGTCAGATATAGTATAGTATAGTATAGTGTATATTGCACTGCCGCCGCCACCAGACACGCTATGCTTTCTTTCTGATTGGTTCGTTCGTACAGGTGCCCAACGTGAGCTGGAAGGACGTGGGTGGCTTGGAGGACGTGAAGAGGGAGCTGCAGGAGACCGTGCAGGTACAGCTCAATACAGCTAGCCTTCACCACATCATCCTCCAGTCTTGCCCTTGATGAGCCGGCGGAGGGGTTTCTTCACATTCGAAGACGCTGTCTGTCTTGTGCGTTGGCTTTGCCCCGCCTGGCATCGCGAACCCTGGCCGGATGTGGCCCCAGTAGCGGCAACACTTGCTTGCAGAGGTGGTAGATACGATGTTCTGGTCGCGGCAAACGTCGAAGGAACTCCGAGTGGTCACGTTGTAGGTGCTGCATACGCCTAGTTGGCGGTACCCCCCAACAACGTCAGTAGCATACCATGTGCGTCCCCCCTCCCCGAACCCGAAACTCAAACTGCGCTTACCACGTGGCTGCCGCCTTGATGGTAACGCTGAATTCATTCCTGGGCAGTACCCTGTCGAGCACGCTGACAAGTTCAAGAAGTTCGGCATGAGCGCTTCTAAGGGAACGCTGTTCTATGGTCCCCCTGGTTGCGGTAAGACGCTGCTAGCCAAGGCCATCGCCAACGAGTGCGGCGCCAACTTCATCTCCGTCAAGGGTGAGCTATTAATATATACAGATAGAGAAATCAGACAGGTAGATGGTAGATGGTAGATGGAGACAAGAGACAGGCAGAGATGTGAGGGGGGGGATGGGGGGGGGGGGGGGGG